CTGAATGTGAGTTGGCCAAAAAAGGGCAGTATATTATCAGGAAAACTCCACTAATTTCACTCAGCTCAGATGCCTAAAATGTTTAAAAGGTAAAAAAGCAATAACAAACATGAATAAATAGTGAACTACATCTGAAAACAAAGGCTACTTTTTAAAAATGCAATTGTTATTAAACAGAGTATGATCTAGTGAATCATAACTATAATTAATAAGAATAATTAATATTATTAGAGGCCTGAGGGAGGCAGGAAGCACTCTGAATGGTATATAGTCTTTTTAAATATCCTCTCTCTAGATCTGAATGGACATCTGATTTTTCAGTTTGCTGCCAGTTCTGAAAATAATCCACAACAATTTGTTTTGAATCAAACAATCAAATTTCTTTGGAATTTTCAGCAACTTGAAAAAGTTTTTAAAAATTAATTTTAGGTCAAACAAAACACACCCAAAAAATTTTGTTCCCAGGCATTTAATGAAGGTCTACATTCACAAACTAGGAGAACAGGTGGTAAAGGAAGAGCCTCCTTCACCTTCTTATAACCTGTAGCACAGTAGTTAGGATGCTCACCTAGGAAATAAGACACCCAGCTCCAAATCCCCACTCTAAAGCAGGGATCTGAACCCAGGTGTCCCCCTTTTCAGATGGGGAGTGGGTGCCCGAACCATCAGGCTATTAGCTATTCTAGAACAGGTTTCTCAATCTTTCCTGGTGCAGTTGTTCAATTTTGTATTAATAATTAAACAGTCATTGGAGCAGGGATTCAAACCTATGTTTCCCACATCCCAGGTGAGTACCCTAACTAGGGGGCTATATTTTATGGGGTAGGGGGCATCTCATCCCCTTCTCCTCCTCCTGGTTCCATTTTGTGAATGTTGCCTAAGTCCCTTTGTGAATCTAGCCCTCGCCAATGTTCCCTCTAATTTTTTCCATCCATGTGCGGAATAAATTTTGTTATGTGCACTGAGGTATGTGTGGATGTGCGCCACCAGTAGAAACAAAAAATCTAGATATAATATATATTTTTAAAAAGTTACCATGGGGATAATTACTTCAGCTAGGACAGGTTAGCATTTTAGAACTCACTACTCAAAGAATTAAATTTAAGTGTAAGAGAAATAAAAATTATGAAATGCATAGACCAGTCAAAAAACTAAAGTAACACACTTTGAAAGAATAAAATTACAGAGAATATATGTGCATTGCAGGAAGTACCAAGAAGTAACAACAACAATAATACAAGTATATGTTGGGAGGTAAGTGTGAAAGAGACAGAGAGTGTGTGTGTGTGTGTGTGTGTGTGTGTGTGTGTGTGTGTGTGTGTGAGAGAGAGAGAGAGAGAGAAAGAGAGTCAGATAGACAGACAGTGTGTGTGCTGGCTGCTGGGGAGGTTTCTGAGAGACGCTGTGCACTGTCTCTTTAAGGCACTCACTGAAAGCTCTCCTGCTCCATCCTGAGCTCTGTCTCTCCTCCCCCACTCTGGGGGGAGGAGGAGGAAAGAAAGAGAGAGTGTGTGTGCTGGCTGCTGGGGAAGTCTCAGAGACTGGGCACTCACTCACCTAAAAAGCTGGTTCAGACCTCAGACCACAGCAGCTCTCTCCTGCTCCGAGTCCTAAGCCAGGCTGTCCTGTCTCCCCTGCTCTGCGGAGATGAGGTACAGAGGCGGGGGGAGGAGGACACCCTGACAATCAGCACTCCCCTCCCCCCTGCTCTGCACAGCCAGCAGGAAGGTCCCAGAAGCAGCTGCAGGAGCAACGTGGCTGCAAAGCAGTGGGGGGTAAGGACACCTGAACACACCCTGCCGGATGTGTGCGGCTCTGCTAATCAAGTGTGCGGCACTTGAATCACTCCTGGGCGACCGCCCAACCGCACAGCTTAGAGGGAACACAGCTCCCAAAACAATTTGGCTGAAACTATGTAGTGAATGTGTGTCAAATTTGTGATTACTTTGGAGTCAGCCAAAACTGCATTTTTTGTTGAATAAACTATTTGTCTGAAATACTTCACCCAGCTCTATATACCACAATTGTGATGTAGGGAAAATCCTGATCAGGAGAACTGTTCCAATGGTAGAAACCTGGTGAATCCAGTTTGTCTTTTTCTGGGTTACAGTTGAGTTTTTTTCACTCTGAAGTGGTTTCTATTAACTTCATGGATCAAACTATTTGGATTTGGATTAGATTGGCAGAGGCCTTGGTAGCAGACTGATGTAATATAAATCTTAAGCCTTATTTGAATTCCATCCAGTTTCACTCACTCTAGAGGCCTGGGTGCCAACTTCATGGGTGCTCCGGGCTGGAGCACCGACAGAAAAAAAACAGCAGATGCTGAGCACCCAAACAGATGATTGGCCCCACCAATCAGTGCCTCTCCCTCCCTCCCAGTGCCTCCTGCCTGCCGCGGATCAGCTCAGAGGGGGAGGAGAGAGGATGGTGCACGCTTGGGGGAGGGATAGAATGAGGCAGGAAGAGGCGGGGCAGGTGTGCAGCGGAGGCAGGAAAAGGCGGCGTCTTGGGGGAAGGAATGGAGTGGGGGCAGGGCCTGGGTCAGAGCAGGGGTCAAGCACCCCCTGGTACATTAGAAAGTCGGTGTCTCTGTCTCTAGGTATTTCAGGCTGTGAGCTGATAACAGGGCCAAACCCCACTTGGGTTGTTAAAATAGTGTGGGAACATTTATTTCATTATTGGTGGAGAATATAGATGCTTCCCCTCAGAAGAACAAAGCACTTACATCTCTTAAAAGAGAGAATGATCAAAGGCCTGATAGCAAAACCATCTTCTGATAAACTTGACACTTATCACCCTGCCGGTAAACTTCTTCGTTGAGGAAGATTATTGAGAGGGTTGTGTGGAGGCATCACTGGCTATATCTAGAGCCCTCAGATTTACTTGACCCATCCCTTTCAATGTAGCACTGGGCATTGGCGTGGCACAGAGACTGGGCTGGTCCCTTTGGTGGATAGTAGACAGAGATCACATATGTACAGCCTACATTTGCAATATGGCAAACTGCAGCTGCATCTGCTTATCTCAAATTTGAAGGGACAGCTAGCAGAAAAACAAGAGGGGAAAGTTTCTATCGAAGGCGAGACCAATGTGAACAGGGAATAGTTCCAAAGGGAAGAAACTGAAATCCTAACTTTGGGCTGGGGGAGGAGGGACAAGGGATCTAGGTAAAAGCTATCCAAAGATTTTCAAAATTGAAGTTTTGCAAAAGTTGTGTTCATATATTTTCCTTTGATATTCTGATTCTAAAATAAAACTTGGTTTAGGACATTAGCTGCTTTTACTGCTTTAACGTTTACCACCATTGTATCAGAACACACTTGACCATGAGGTATTGTTAACACATCTCTGGACCTGAAAAGGCCTAGATGAAGTCATGCTTCAGGTACTCTATTCTTTAGTCTCTGAGAGGACCTAGAATATAGTAATGCGCTATGATTCATTCCCTCAAGGGCTCTCTTATGGGGGGTAACACAAGATTCTAGTCTGTCATACTTTTTCTGCATTGTGCATGGGAGGCCATAATGAGAGAATGAAATAATGTGGGCTGCAGTGCCACCAGGAAGCTGTTCTGTGATTCATCAGATTCAGATGGACTGGTCATTCAGCATTCCCAGTATCTGGCCAAAGAGGAGATTTCTGCCCCTTGATATGTATAACCAGGAGTTATAACTAAAAATGTCCATAGTCTAGGGGCCCTGTTAGATCTTTGTCTGTTTCAGGATGCGCAGACAATATTGGTGTCCAAGGATACTTCATTCCACCTTTTGCTTAGGAGGGGGGAGGGATAGCTCAGTGGTTTGAGCATTGGCCTGCTAAACCCAGGGTTGTGAGTTCAATCCTTGAGGGGGCCACTTAGGGAGCTGGGGCAAAATCAGTACTTGGTCCTGCTAGTGAAGGCAGGGGGCTGGACTCGATGACCTTTCAAGGTCCCTTCCAGTTCTAGGAGATAGGATATCTCCATAAATTTAAAAAAAGAGCAATTCTGTTAGAATACAGAATGTGAGGGGTTCTGTAGCAATAATTTACACATGGAGCACATTACAATTGTGCTCCATAAACTGCACTGGCTCCCAATTTGTTTCCATTTGCAATTGAAAGTGTTGATTTGGATTTATAAAGACATGGATAGCCTGTATCCTGTGCATCTCAGAGACCAACTGGTGGTGCTTCAAATTCATAAATGTGATGAGCTGGGACACCTGAGCTAATAGTCCCTGGTTAAAATTAGAACCATGCGCTAGATGTATCAAGCTTTTTGTTCAGTGTTCACAAGAGTATATCAGAGAATGACCATTTCCTTCCCACAGGGAGCTTTTTATTCAGTTCTTACTCAGTCCTTAAACACAGTATATAAACTGAGTAAGGACTTCAGGATCTGACCAAGAGTGAAGAAGATAAGTAATCTTACTCATAGCTTACATGTGTCAAGCGCAAAAAGAACATCAGTTTTGTCTTCATTTTCATTAAGAGCATAGGTAGACATATATATATTGTTTGAAACAGTATATATTTGAAACAGTAGTTCAGTGAAAAATAAGACCCAGTCTGAACTTCAGTCCAAATATTTACCCAAACCTGAACCATCTTTAGATGTGGATAACTTAAATACCCCCTTTTGCTCCCCAACAGGCTTCCTTTTGCCTTTGCTGAAACTCATCACATTTTCTTTGCAGGTGTAGCAATCGCTGCTGGTGCAGTCTTCAAATCTTGTAAGTTCCACAGGGTAAAAGATATGGTGCTCTCTTAAAGTGAGACATGTTATAAGGCTGGCTAACAAACATGTGACTAAAGCAACACCCTAGTAAGAGTTTGCAGACTCCAGTATAGACAAGAAGGTATTAGAATTTATATTTCAAGGTGGAATGAGATTGGTATAAGAATACAATGAAATTTGTCTTAAGCAACCACTCAAGGGACCAAGCAAGTTTCTTACCAGTCTGTCCTGTAATGGATTACAAAGAATTTGAAGAATATTTTTTATTCTAGTGTGTTACCTGTGCATTTCTTGATATTGCTGTTTCTTTTTCCATGTGATCCTAACTTGCATCCAAAATTCTCCTCCCAAAATTCTGCAAACCACACATTTCTTCGATTATTAGCAAGGGTACGGCTCCGAAAATATCTATCGAATCCTAAAATTAAACAAAAAATTTAAAAAAACATAAAAATATGACACAGGATGCAGAAGAAAGAAGTGGGCTGTAGCCCATGAAGGCTTATGCTCTAATAAATTTGTTAGTCTCTAAGGTGCCACAAGTACTCCTGTTCTTTTTGCGGATACAGACTAACACGGCTGCTACCCTGAAACATAACAAGAATGCAATGCATATCTTGTGATATAAACTACATGAATACAGATTTTTTAAAAGAATGAAGTGGTATTTGCTCACAAACAGGGAAGAATTAGTAGGGGAAGCAAAAGTGGATGGGAACCTGGGAGACAGTGACCATGAGATGGTCGAGTTCAGGATCCTGACACAAGGAAGAAAGGAGAGCAGCAGAATACGGACCCTGGACTTCAGAAAAGCAGACTTTGACTCCCTCAGGGAACAGATGGGCAGGATCCCCTGGGAGAATAACATGAAGGGCAAAGGGGTCCAGGAGAGCTGGCTGTATTTTAAAGAATCCTTATTGCGGTTGCAGGAACAAACCATCCCAATGTGTAGAAAGAATAGTAAATATGGCAGGCGACCAGCTTGGCTAAACAGTGAAATCCTTGCTGATCTTAAACGCAAAAAAGAAGCTTACAAGAAGTGGAAGATTGGACAAATGACCAGGGAGGAGTATAAAAATATTGCTCAGGCATGCAGGAGTGAAATCAGGAAGGCCAAATCACACTTGGAGTTGCAGCTAGCAAGAGATGTTAAGAGTAACAAGAAGGGTTTCTTCAGGTATGTTAGCAACAAGAAGAAAGTCAAGGAAAGTGTGGGCCCCTTACTGAATGAGGGAGGCAACCTAGTGACCGAGGATGTGGAAAAAGCTAATGTACTTAATGATTTTTTTGCCTCTGTCTTCACAAACAAGGTCAGCTCCCAGACTGCTGCACTGGGCAGCACAGTATGGGGAGAAGGTGACCAGCCCTCTGTGGAGAAAGAAGTGGTTCGGGACTATTTAGAAAAACTGGACGTGCACAAGTCCATGGGGCCGGATGCGCTGCATCCAAAGGTGCTAAAGGAGTTGGCGGATGAGATTGCAGAGCCATTATTTTTGAAAACTCATGGCGATCGTGGGAGGTCCCGGATGACTGGAAAAAGGCTAATGTAGTGCCCATCTTTAAAAAAGGGAAGAAGGAGGATCCGGGGAACTACAGGCCAGTCAGCCTCACCTCAGTCCCTGGAAAAATCATGGAGCAGGTCCTTAAGGAATCAATTACGAAACACTTAGAGGAGAGGAAAGTGATCAGGGACAGTCAGCATGGATTCACCAAGGGGAAGTCGTGCCTGACTAACCTAATTGCCTTCTATGATGAGATAACTGGCTCTGTGGATGAGGGGAAAGCAGTGGAGGTGTTATTCCTTGACTTTAGCAAAGCTTTTGATACGGTCTCCCACAGTATTCTTGCCGGCAAGTTAAAGAAGTATGGGCTGGATGAATGGACTGTAAGGTGGATAGAAAGCTGGCTAGATCATCGGGGTCAACGGGTAGTGATCAATGGCTCCATGTCTAGTTGGCAGCCGGTTTCAATCGGAGTGCCCCAAGGGTCAGTCCTGGGGCCGGTTTTGTTTAATATCTTTATTAATGATCTGGAGGATGGTGTGGACTGCACTCTCAGCAAGTTTGCAGATGACACTAAACTGGGAGGCGTGGTAGATACACTAGAGGGTAGGGATCGGATACAGAGGGACCTAGACAAATTAGAGGATTGGGCCAAAAAAAAAAAACTTGATGAGGTTCAACAAGGACAAGTGCAGAGTCCTGCACTTAGGACAGAAGAATCCCATGCACTGCTACAGACTAGGGACCGAATGGCTAGGTAGCAGTTCTGCAGAAAAGGACCTAGGGGTCACAGTGGATGAGAAGCTGGATATAAGTCAACAGTGTGCTCTTGTTGCCAAGAAGGCTAACGGCATTTTGGGCTGTATAAGTAGGGGCATTGCCAGCAGATCAAGGAACGTGATCGTTCCCCTTTATTCGACATTGGTGAGGCCTCATCTGGAGTACTGTGTCCAGTTTTGGGCGCCACACTACAAGAAGGATGTGGAAAAATTGGAAAGAGTCCAGCGGAGGGCAACAAAAATGATTAGGGGTCTGGAGCACATGACTTATGAGGAGAGGCTGAGGGAACTGGGATTGTTTAGTCTCCAGAAGAGAAGAATATGGGGGGATTTGATAGCTGCTTTCAACTACCTGAGGGGGGGTTCCAAAGAGGATGGAGCTCGGCTGTTCTCAGTGGTTGCAGATGACAGAACAAGGAGCAATGGTCTCAAGTTGCAGTGGGGGAGGTCTAGGTTGGATATTAGGAAACACTGTTTCACTAGGAGGGTGGTGAAGCACTAGAATGCGTTACCTAGGGAGGTGGTGGAGTCTCCTTCCTTGGAGGTTTTTAAGGCCCGGCTTGACAAAGCCCTGGCTGGGATGATTTAGTTGGGAATTGGTCCTGCTTTGAGCAGGGGGTTGGACTAGATGACCTCCTGAGGTCCCTTCCAACCCTGATATTCTATGATTCTATGAAATAAAAATAACTACATTTGCTATTAATATTTGTTTTAGAAAAAATGTTCTTGAAACTGCTATAGCAATTATTTGATGAAACCAAATCGATAATGCTGCTGTGAAATACTATAGCTGAAGAAAATGCAATGCAGGTGGTCAATAAACTCTCCAATTCAACATCAATATACTGTAAAGGCCCAATCTTGCAAGGTGCCAAGTGCCCTCAATTCCCATGGAGGTCTGCATTGCATTCAATACCGCATGAAGTAAATGGGAAATTCTCATCAACTAAATATAAATCTTAAAGTGTGTCTTTTGTGTCATTACTATAAGTTCTTACCATCGATAGAAGCTCTTTTGGGCAGAATGGTGACTGCTCCTTCTGCAATCTCTTCCTGTTGGTAAACAGGTGAAATTTTTGACCCCCAACTATCTGAGCCAATCCAAAGAAAATGTCCAGTTTGATTAGTTTTTTTGGCTGCTTCTAATATTCGCCTGCAAATAAACAAACAACTAATTAGATATAACGCATTTACCAAGAAATGTTACTGACTAGAATCCCCCTGCAGCATTGGTTCTGGCTATACATAAATAGCCTGTCTTTAACCAATTAGTCAATTGTTCTGACAGTCTAAAGCATATTTCTCAAAAGACACAGAGTTCAGCACTCAAGCTACAGTACTGTAAATATTAATTTGCCTCATCCTTACCCTTAAACATATTATTCTGTCTATCATTCTTATATGTTTCATCTCTTTCAGTCCTCAAGTTACAATATACAGCATTTTCATGCTTAGTAACTAAGAAGTTTTGGGGTCTCTGTGGAGCAGTGGCATAGCATACGGCATAATGGCAACCTTACATTAGATTGAAATCTGAAATCTGTTAGGAAATCAGACATGGGCTCTCAGAAAGGGACTTTCTGCAAAGAGGTGACTTCTTCAACATAAAAAATTAAGAAAACAAGCACCTAATATCATCCTCGTTTGCAAACATGATCACTGCTCGAGCATTAGGAGTTTCCAACAACCGCTTGATGATCTTGTCAAATTCTCCCAGTCTTGGTTCACGGGGGATTTTTAGCGACTGAGCGATGCAAACGCCACCTGCATGCGCGTGCACACACAAACAAAAGCAAAACTAATTAATTGAGGTGAAACTCTGAACTGTTTATTAATACTTAATTTAATAAACCTATGGCAAAACAGACAAGGAAAACAAGATACCAGTTTGATTGGAGGAGACAGTTCAGCCAAAAAAATTATCATGTCCAGAGGGAGTGTCTAACTCTTCTAACCACTTGCAAAAATCAGCAATGATTACATGCAACTCAAAGCTTAAACATGATGACACCTGGTGCAAGTTACCTATGTGTTTGTCATTCACTGTATCCAAAACTTAAAAGAAATATCAGGCCAGATCCTCAACTGGGGTAAATCGGCATAGCAGTGATTTACACCTCTTGAGAATTTGGCTCGTCATTTTGTCACAGGATTACATTTAGCCTAGAAAATGCCTGTGGGTTGACAGTTAACCTGCATTCAGAACTTCTTTTCCAGGGGTGGGTAAGCAGGACAATGATTAACAGTAAATATTGTGGTTAGAGGAATGAGATAGCAAACTTGTAATCCTTTCATGGGAACCATACACTGAATTTTTCCAATTGCTATTACAGCATTTTTAATTAAGTTGTCTTAATCATTTAACCATCTGGGTTGTCAATAAAAAGTCTAAATTACTAATCGCTGAATAAACACAAACTCAGAGGCAATATTTATGTTTTTTTCTGTGACAGAAGCAGGAATTGGAGCTAATTAGACCCTTTAACATTTTAACTGTTCTGCAAGAAAGGATCCTTAAACTCAATGTTATCCAATGGAATAAATCCTGCAGTTTTGGAAACTCTCTGCAGCACAGGTGGAATTTTAAGACACCATGGTTATATACATTTTGAGAATACTAGGCAAGAAATTCACTGAGATCCTGTCTTATGGCACACTTAGTCAGGAAGGGCACCAAATCATTGTACCTCAGGGTTTTCAGCCCTTATATTTTTGTTGGGGTTTTTAAAATATTATTTACCGTAATTACTTTCTCCTTAAGAACAAGCTCCCTAATAGCCTTCACTCCAGTCCTAGATCTTCTGAAACACTTCATTGTGAAGGTAATACAGTCCAGGAGTAATGGAATCTGAAGAAGTGCAGGATCCCAACAGTGAAACCTAAGGTTTTCTCATGTTAGGGAGTTTTAAAGAATAATTTTTCAACCTTAAAAATAGGTTATAACATGGTGTTTTTTGCTGAAATATAGGATCCAGATTTGTATATGGACCACATACCACTATCCCATTGACCTCAACTGTTCTCCACTCAGATAGATCACAGTGCAGGGTCAGGATTTAAGCAAGTCAATAGCAGCTAACGCAGTATGAAACAATCAATTGTCATGAATAAAAATGATGATTTTTTAAAAGTTCTTATGAAAATCAGTGGATTTGGTCAAGGACAAAAATGTCACCTTTTTCATCACTGGTCATGGACTTCTTTATGACAACAATCATAATTTCACCAGTTTGGTGAAAGCAAAACACCGTGTTTTGCTTTCAACTTTTCTCTATTTCACATTAAAACAAAAACACATTTTTGCAAGTGAAAACACCTTCCATTTTGCTGCAAAAACAATGTTTGTGTTAGAAATAGGTTTGGGGTTGTTGTTTTTGTTTTCCTTCTGTAAAGAGGGCAAAGATGTAATAATTTACAATTTATTCTATTTGTTTCCAGTGGGATGTTACCATTTTTGCTGGCAACAATTTTTTCTCTCATAGCTGTATTAGTAACCAGGTTCTCCACAAAAGACTGCTATTTTGTCAGTAACAACAAGTGAGAACAAATATTAGGTGATCCTAATATCTACCAGGTATTTATGATGATCCAATGGTGATATAAATGACAAGATGCTATGAAAATGTTTGGCCAATATTTCTAAAAATAAGATAACCTATTCTAACATACAATCAGAAAATAATCCCGCATTCTAAGCTATTTCTGAGTTAACAGATTTGCACACCTGACAATGAATGCTAAAAGAAATATTGAACAGATGTACTGTAAATGTTTGTCATTTAAGTAATAACAGTTCTCTGGTTTAAAAAAAGTAAAGGCTTGAAAAAGAACATTAAGCTCTCAACAGTAGCCAAAGTTATCCAGACATGGGAATGAAAAATGACATAAAATAATAATAATTTGTTACCTCATAAATTTCTTGAGTATAATTTTGAAGCCTTTCTACTCATTCAGTGGCTCTTAGGGAAAAAACATTCTCTCTACATGAAATGCAACCTCAAATATTACAAATGCATATATATTATATACTGCATATTGCCATCTACATGGAATGGATATCAAGGAATGAAAAACTACAGTAGCTGAAAAGTTATTTTCCTAGAGTCCAAATGGTGTAGCAAAAACACCTTTCCATCATTATAGCATTAAATTCAATCATGACTGCACTGTGCAACTTAACATCTCTACACTGAAGATCTATTAGGAACAAAACAAAATGCACTTCAGCCTTATTGTTACATTTATAATGATTTCTGCAAGCTATTTTCTGACATATAAAACATTTTGTGTATATCCATATCTATTTATTACTTATACTGTTGTGACAAACAAGTAACAGCATATCAATTTACAGTTAATGATCAAATCTCTAGTTCCTAAAGCATAACAGAACAACATTAAGGTGACACCCAATTGTGTACAGGTATTGCAGATTTGATCCTAAAATGCAAATATCCACACTTCATTCATTTAAGTCCAAAACAACATTAGATCACTGTAGTATTTTTGTGTGTTTCTTATGTTTTGTTATGTTTTTAGTATCCTTTAATTATGAAAATCTGAAAATATCAATCTGTTAATGGACGAATTGCCAGACTCTTGGGGTGATTTCATGTAAGGCAGTCTGCACTGAGTGTCCACAAGTCCTATTGATGTCAAATGGAAGTTTACTTATTTGATTTCCTTAGACTTAGATAAGCACATGCTCAGAAAGCTAAAGAATGCCTACTCAGGCCTGCATGTGCCCTAGACAAGAATTCAAACTACAATTATTAAAATGCACAAGTCTCTTAGTTTTTCCTAACCAACAGTTGCCAGACAGAAACTAGACCCTGAAATTGAGTTGCAGGTGCTCACCCCCTTTAGGATCAGATTCTAAACTGGTTTCTGCTATTGTTGAGGAAAAAGCTGAAGGAGCAAATTATCTAACTAGCACAAGGAGTCATTTCAGACGTGCATATTTATGCCTCAATCCTGCAATGAGAACCACACAGGGGAATCCAAGCAGAGCCCCAATGAAGTCAATGGAACCACCCTAGAGGTTTTCAGTGCAGGACTGATAACTTAATAAAGAAATGCCAAACTACAATCTGTGAGAACTATCAGTATGGTCAGTGAATTATAATAGCTCTTATGAGCATGTGAGCAACTTGGTCACTTACAAGCCCAGATCCATAAAGGTATTTAGGTGCCTCTCTTCCATTGATTTCAATTGAAGCCTAAATACCTTTGTGGATCTGGGCCTTCCTCTCCCATTCACTAACTATTGTGAGTTACATAGCTGCTACCTAAAATGTCTAAACCAATGACTTATCTTCCCATCTTGTATTTATTAAAAGCATTTGTGAAGAAAAGCTGAACAGTTACAATTACTGCCTGCCATACTCAGGAAGAGGCCTTTATACAAGGCATACAAATCATGTTTCTTTCATGACACAGGCTGATTACTTGTATATCCTTATGTTTAAGCACTCTCTTTACCCAAGAATTCCTCCTGCACAGAAATTCTCACTTCTCTAGAGAGAGATGGAGTTATATTTTAATTAAATTTACAACATACTATGACAAATATGATTTACAATATGGCCTTGGTAATGGTTTCCTTAGAACAAAACTGTGATGCCTCTTGATATACTGTAGTTGGCTGTAAATACAGCTGGGTGCATAACAGATTTGGGTTTGCTGGCAATTCTGGAAAAAACTGTTTCAGGTCAAATCAAAAACAAAATTTCTCAAAATTTTCTGTGACTCAAAATGTTAAAAAAATTGTTTGGGATCTTTTTAATTGGATTTTGAGCATGTTTTAGGGTATATTATACATATACTATATACATTGTAGGACATTTAGAAATCAAAAGTCTATTTGAACTGAAAAACTGAAAGGTTTCATTTCAAATATGCTGAAACAAACTATTCTAGCTGTTTGGAATTTGTCTTTTTCCCAAAATTAACAATTCAGCAAAACCAACTCAAATCTGCAAAACATTTTGGTGTCGCTGCACACATATTTTTGTCAACAAAAAATCTCAGACGATAAATTTTACCCAGTTCTAGCAGTAAATGTGTTCACACATTTTCAAATCTAGTCCCCTATCCTGCAATCATTTGCACATGTGCTTGACTGTACTCCCATGAGTAGTAAATTAAAGTCCATAGGGCAGCTTGGGTGTTTGAAGAACAAGGGCCCTGGATACAAACCACAGTTCAGCTGGAGCCTAAAATTTGCTAAAACATTACTACTGATCTCTCTCTCTCTCTTTCTCTCCTTTCATAATATTAATATATAATAAACGAACAATACATACTATGTTCAGAATATTTCATTTATAAATAAAGAGCACTAAACCTCAAGAGCAGGTCCTCAAGGAATCAATTCTGAAGCACTTAGAGGAGAGGAAAGTGATCAGGAACAGTCAGCATGGATTCACCAAGGGCAAGTCATGCCTGACTACCTAATTGCCTTCAAGCGGAGTGCCCCAGGGGTCGGTCCTGGGGCCGGTTTTGTTCAATATCTTCATTAATGATCTGGAGGATGGTGTGGACTGCACTCTCAGCAAGTTTGCAGATGACACTAAACTGGGAGGAGTGGTCGATACGCTGGAGGGTAGGGACAGGATACAGAGGGACCTAGACAAATTAGACAATTGGGCAAAAAGGAACCTGATGAGGTTCAACAAGGACAAGTGCAGAGCCCTGACTTAGGATGGAAGAATCCCATGCACTGTTACAGACTAGGGACCGAATGGCTAGAAAGCAGTTCTGCA